TAGGTGTCTATGCAAAGAAATAAAAAATTAGCTCAAAAAAGATATATGCCACTCCCATGCAGCATTATTTATAATAACCAAGATGTGGAAACTACCTAAGTGTCCATCAATGGATGAATGAGTAAAGAAAATACAATTGAGTTACACACACACACATACACTCACGCACACAATGGATTATTATTCAGCCATAAAAAAGAAGGAAATCTTGCCATTTGCAGCAACATGGATGGACCTTGAGAACATTATGCTCAGAGAAATAAGACAAAGACAAATACCATACGATATCACTTATATGTGGAATCTAAAAAAGAACAGAGAAAACAAAAATGAGCACATAAATACAGAGAACAGATTAGTGGTTTCCACAGGCAGAGAGTGGAAGATGGGTAAATTAGTGAATGGGGTCAAGGGAAAACAAGAACCAAGTACAATAAGTGAAAAGAAAAATTCACTAGAGGGACCCAACAGTCGATCTGAACTGGTAGAAACAGAATCAGCAAACTTGAAGGTAAGCTGATAGAGACTATGCATTCTGAAGAAGAGAAAAAAAAAATTGGGGTAGCTTAAGTATACCAACATGTCCATAATAAGAGTAGTAGAAGGAGAGAAGAGAGAGAAGCAGAAAAATATGCAAAAAGATAATGGCAGAAAACTTCCAAAATTTGATGAAAACCATGTGTATGTCCAAAAGCTCAGTGAACTCCAAATAGGATAAATGCAAAGATATCCACACCCAGACATGGCATAGTATAAATTCAGAAAGGTAATGAGAAAATCTTGAAAGAACTGAGAGAAAAATGACTTGTCACTACAAGGGAACTCCAGTAGGATTAATAGTTGTCAGAAACAGTTTAGGTCGCAAGCAATAGGACAACATATTCAAAGTGCTCAAAGGAAAAAACTAAACCCCAGATCTTATATCCAGCAAAATGATCTTTCAAAAATGTAGATGAAATAAAGACATTCCCAGATAAACAAAAAATGAGAGAATTTTGTTGCTAGCATAGCCACTTTACAAGAAATACTAAATAAAGTTTTCTCAGGCTGAAGAAAGTAAACACCAGATGATAACTTGAATTCACACAAAGGAAAAAAAAGAACATTATTAAGGTAAATATGTAATTATAAAATAGTGTAAGTGCACATTTTTCATCTAACTGATTTAATAAGCCATTTATAAAACAATATGTATAAAATTGTATTGTTGGGCCTATAACATATAGAAATGTAAAATATTTTCAATAACAGCACCGTGGAGGTAGGTGGGAGCAAAGCTGTATTTGAGTAAGCAGATGAAACCAGGTGGATTGACCACAACAAATGAAGAGAGCTAGAAATGGTAAATTAGAAAGTTAATACACAAACTTTATAAATACATTTTTTGTTCTCTTCTGTCTCTCAGGTTTTATAAAAAAAACAGTTATATAAAGTAATTATAATATGTTGTTGAATTTCTAACACATATGGATGTAATATGTATGCCAATATAATAGCACATAAAGGGGAAAAGAGGATATAGAGCTATATAAGAGTAACATTTCTATATCCCCCTGGCATTAAGTTAATATACACCTGAAGTCAATTCTGATAAATTAAGATGTATGTGTTGTCTTAGAGCAATTACAAAGAACTCCAAAAATATGATGACAGAGGGGCACCTGGGTGGCTCAGTCATTAAGCATCTGCCTTCAGCTCAGGTCATGATCCCAGGGTCCTGGGATTGAACCCCACATTGGGCTCCCTGTCAGCAGAAAGCCTGCTTCTCCCTCTCCCACTCCCCCTGCTCGTGTTCTCTCTCTCTTGCTGTCTCTCTGTCAAATAAATAAATAAAATCTTTAAAAAATTATGATGACAGAATTATTAAAGAAAGAATAAGTTGCACCAGAAGATATTTACTTAATACCAAACAAAGCAGTAAAGGAAGATTAAAGGAATAAAAAAGACATGAGACATACAGAAAACCTAAAGTGAAATGACAGATGTAATCCAACTATATCAATAATAACATTAAGTATGGATAGATTTAACAATCCAATCAGAAGATAAAGATTGTTGGACTAGATTTTTTTAAAAATCAAGATTTAACTCTATACTATTTGAAGGCATAAAGATACAAATAGGTTGAAAGTAAAAGGATCATGCAAACAGAAAACATAAGAGGCTGTAGTTAATATCAGACAAAATAGATTTTAAAGCAAAAAAAAATGTTACTAGAAATAGAGACATCTAAAATGAAAAAATGGTCAACCCATCAAAATTTAACAATTATAAACATCTAAGCATCTAACAACAGAACTAAAATGTACATGAAGCAATACTTGACAGAATCAAAGGGAGACAGACAATTAGAAATTTCAATACTGCACTTTGAATAAGGATACAAGGACTAGGTAGAAGACCGAAAAGGAAATAGAAGACTTGAAAAATGCCATGATTGAAACCTCTATACTGAAATCTACAAACTAGTGCAGAAAGAAAAATTTTAAAAGATCATTTAAATGGAGGAGAACACCATGTTTATGGGTTGGGAGACTATTATTTAAGTGTTTATTCTGCCAAAATTATCTATGGACTTATTACAGTCCAATAAAATGTTGGCATATCCTTTTGTAGAAATTGACAAACTGATTCTAAACTTTATTTAGGAATGCAAAGAATCTAAAATAAAAAGCTCTTGGAAAAGAACAAAGTTGGAGGATTTTACTCCTGACTTCAAGATGTACTATAAACCTACATTAATTAGTGGGGTACTACAGAATAGAAAGTCCAGAAATAAACCTATATTTATGTAGCCAATTTATTTTTTACTAAGTCACTAATAAAAATCAATGAAGAAAGGAAAATCTTTTTAACAAATAATGATAGAAAAACTGGACAGGGGCGCCTGGGTGGCTCAGTTGGTTAAGCGACTGCCTTCGGCTCAGGTCATGATCCTGGAGTCCCGGGATCGAGTCCCACATCGGGCTCC